TTTATGAAGTACTTCAATCTCCCTAGCTCTTTTATCTCAAATTCTCTAGTCAAACACTGTTTTGGATATTCTCTCTCTTTTTCATCATCTTCAGTTATAATTATATCATCAATATATACTAATAGAACTGTGACTCTCCTTGAATTAGAGTGCTTAATAAACAATGTGTGATCTCCTTGACTTTGTTTATATCCCATTGCTAGTATCACTTTGACAAATCTTCCAAACCAAGCCCTAGGAAACTGTTTAAGGCCATATAAAGCTTTTTTCAACTTGCATACTTTGTTTGCTTCTAGATTACCTTCAAATCTTGATGGAACCTTTATATATATATTTTCTTTCAAATCATCATGTAGAAAAGCATTCTTTATATCAAATTGTTGAAGCTGCCAATTGTAATTTACAGCCAAAGATAAAAAAATTTTAACTGTATTCATCTTGGCAACTGAAGCAAAATTTTTTTGATAATCCACTCTATAAGTTTGAGTATAGCCCTTAGCCACTAACCTGACTTTATACTTTTTAACAGTACCATCCGTATTGTATTTTATAGTGAAAACTCATTTACACCCACTGGATTTTTTTTTTAGGCAACTCTACCAGTTTTCATGTTTTATTTTTCTCTAAGGCCTCCATTTCTATTTTTATGAGTTGCCTCCATTTCTATTTTCATGGCTTGCCTCCATTTCTATTTTCATGGCTTGTCTCCATTTCTTACTGGATATAATACCTCGGATAATGTAGTTGGAATTGAAATAGTGTTTAGGCTCACAAAAAAATTTTTATGGGATGGTAAGAATTTTTCAAATGACACAAAATTAAAAATTGGGTATAGTGGATGCTTAGTATATTATCCGATTCTTTTCCTAATGACAATAGACAGATCATAATCATTAGTTATAGTTTTAGAGATTCATGCTCATTTTGAGAAACACAGTCAAAAACTATAGTTGCCTCATTTTCAAAGTTAGGATCAAGTTTTTGGACTGACACTGGTTCAGGCTCTAAAACTTTTTTTCTTAAGTACATCTGTAATTCCTTCATAGAGTCAAGAACAATATTATCCTTTGTCACATTTTTTGTATTTGGAATGGGTTCAGACTCAAATTCAATGTTTAACTTGAGCTCAGCAGAAACAGGTTTTGACTCAGAAGAATTAATAGGTGAAAATGTTAAAGAATGGGACAAAGACAAATCAAGCAAAAAAGAAGTTTTTATCCTTATCTTCCATAAATGAAGTCTCCCCCTGAAGATAAGATTGAGTAAAAAATGATTTATTTTTTTCAAAAGAAATATTTACAGACACATAAAATTTTTTAGTAAGAGGTTGATAGCACTTATACCTTTTCTAAGTTGATGAATACCCCACAAAGATACACTTAATCATTTTTGGATCTAACTTTCCCCTATTATGTCTGTGAACATGAACAAATAATGTACAACCAAATATCCTAGGTGTGAGGTTGTTTGTGGTATTAAGGTTGGGATATAATTGTGACAGTAGTTTCATAAGAGTTTTAAATCCCAAAATCTTTGAAGGTAACCTATTTATAATGTGTGTGGTAGTGAGAACAGCCTCCTCCCAGTAAGATTTGGGTATATTTGCTTGAAAAAAGAAGGCTCGGGTTGTGGCTAGTAAATGACTATTTTTTTTCTCTGTCACTCCATTCTGTTGTGAAATATTAACACAAGATGACTCATAGATAATCTCCTATTTTTGAAAATAGATGGATAGAGTCTGGTTGAAATAGTCTCTGCCATTATCAGACTTAAATATCTTGATTCTGACTTCAAATTGATTCTAGATCATAGTTTGGAAGCTTAAAAATATATTATTCACATCTGATTTGGATTTAAGTAAAAAAAACTCAAGAGACTATGGTATAATCATTTATGAATGAAACAAACCATCTTGCACCAGAAATATTAAAAATTATAAAAAGACCCCTAATGTCACTATGAATCAAGTAAAAGGAAGTAGAATTTCTTTTGTTACTAATTGAAAAAGACACACATATGTTCTTTGCAAGTTCACAAACATTACAATGAAAATCTTCGACATTTAATCCTTTGAACAAAGAAGGAAACATATTTCTCAAAGTTTCAAAAGAAGGACGTCGAAGACGAAAATGATAAAGCCAGATTTTGTTTTTATTGAAGAATTTTTCAGAAAGAAATGACAAAGGTAAACTATTCTTGATATTATTTGTGTTATTTGATGTCTCAAGATAATGTAGTCCATTATTCTCCTTAGCAAGTCCAATCCTCTTCTCCAAACTTTGATTCTAAAATTCACAATAAGAAAGATAAAAAGTCACTTTGCAATTCATATCTTTGGTAAGTTTTTGTATAAATATCAGATTAGAAGATAATCCAAAAACATGAAAAACATTTTTTAGAACAAACGAGGGATTAACTTGAACATCTCCTAATCCTGTCACTGTAGTAAGTGAACCATCTACAACAACAATTTTCTTATTATTATGACACAGGATATATGTACTAAATTTTTATGATTAATGTGTCATATGATCTGTGATTTCTGAGTCAATAACCCAAAAACTCGTAATATGCTTAACCAAGACATTTAATCCATAAGAACCAGAAGCTTTACCTGAACTAGAGACCTTACCCAAAAAACATACCACAATAGGTTTTTCAAGGGTTTTCAATAGGTTTCTCAGCTTTTCAATCTCTTCTCTGTCGAACTCTCCTTGTTTTCGAGACATCTGTAGTACTCCGGTGATTTTTCCATTTGATGCTTCTTCAAATTGGGTGGTAGTGATATCTTTTTTTGAATTGAAATAAGTTTTAAGATATAACCAGAAATGACTCTTAGCAATGAAGGCTAAAGAAGGAAAAAATAGAATGGCTATGAAGGCCTTAACAGGATTCGACAATGAAGGTCTAAACAAGGTTCGACAATGAAAGCCTAAAATAGAAGTCAGTAATGAAGGCTAAAAATTTTACTTCCCAAGAAGAGCCTAAAGCTCTGATACCATGTGAAAAAACTAAAAAATAAATCTGTGTGAAAACGTAAGAGGAAAAACTAAATGTATATTGAAAAACTGCTAATTAAGAATTATACAAGAACCTTAAGTTTATATACAACTAAATATGGGTTAAACTAGGAAACTAAATCTTCTTAAAAACTGATCCTATAATTGAAGAATTGTCTATCCTAATTTTTTTGTCCTTAATTCTAGAGATACAAATACTTAATTCTAGATATACAAATATAAATACATAGATTACAAGATTACAACCAGTTGTAAATAAATGTTTTCCCACAATTATACTTCTTGACATGGATACCATACAGTGTTGAATGCACATTCTAATAGCATGGATCTCTAAAAGATATCAGAACAGCAACTTGTTTTAACTGTAAGAGAATTATGAAAGATACTAAAAAGAAGAAGAAAGTCCCATACTGAATCATCAAAGCCATCTTGAAAATAATGATAGTACTCATAAGAACCTTGAACCAGAGAAACAATGCCTCCTGAGACTGCACAAAAAAAAGGAAAAATTCATTCTTTTCCAAAAACCAAAGTTAACAATGACAAAGAGACGAGAAAAGGTAAAACAGAAAAGGAGACTATAGCCACTAACCCCCACTGCTTGGAATCCCAACATGCACATCTTTAAGCAAAGAAGAACCAGATAGTACCACAAAATAAGCTAAAAAGTTCATGCATAGCAGAAACATAAAGAAAGAGAATGGGAGGGTAAAACTGCCTAGATTTCTGTAATGTATTTTATTTCAACAATTACCCTTTCTTGTTGAGCTGTCACTCGAACAGTCTGTTGTTGACAAATCCAGGGAATTGGCAATCCGTAAGAGAGGATGATCAAATGGCAAACCTAGCCTTAGATGTAGGGATCTTCTAGCATCAACTGCCAAACATAAATTACAACCATGGAAAATCAAGGGGTGGACAATAATTAAAATTATAATTCTAAATTTTCAATACATTATGAAGATCACTTTAGAACATGATATGTAGTAGCTTAGTTTGTCATCAAAACCTTTCTAGAAAACAGTACAGACTTTTGTATAAGCAAAAAGAAATGCTAACGATGGCAGGAAAGACTTTTCTTGGTGTGCAAGGTTGAGCAGTTCATGCAAACGTCCAATATTAGTTTGAGAATGTAACAAATGCACCATAGAAATAAAGCATTTTTCCTCTCAAGAGACAAAATTGGTTTATCGGGTGATATATATAAACCAGCCGTATCTAAAAGAGCCCAAATTATTCAACAAAGGCGAGCAATGCTGTAGCTTTATTTTTAGATATGATACTAGAGGAGAAAAGGTAATAGATGTGGTAGTTGACAGAAGTCAACTTTACATAAGTTTTTCTGCTATCCCACTTACAACTCAAGAACACTTCAACAAACAAAAGTTCACATTTACCAAGTACCTTGCTTCATTTCAGTCTCCCCATAATTAAGTTCATAGATAACAGTTATTGGATGTGCTATTCCAGGCGGACTAAAGTGGATGTAGCTGCAAAATGCAATTAGTTTCAAGTTATTTGTGGAACAAGATCAAATTCAAGAATAGAGACTTTTTAGATGAAAAGTAATTAAATATTTGAGGAACTAAATTACAAAATCAATTTAGCGAGCCTAATTATTATATAAATAGGATGCTCAATCAAAGCACCTCATAAACGACAAACTATATCCCAGCTTTCAAAATTGTTATTTTTGTTCTGACTTTCGTATCTCTTAGATAGAAGATAAGGACTCCATATATGATTCTGAACATGCATAACAAGCTAGTATTATTACTCAAGATTCCATAGTATCAGATACGGCTGGTGTTGAGACATATTGTGTCTTGGAATTTCATTCACTTGTGGTGGGTGTCTTATAGCCTGTTGAGCTTAAAATTTCTGCGGCTTTACACTGTCTTCAGAAAACTAATGGTATAGAACGTAGATTATAGAGAAATTGAAACATGTTTTTGAGTATATTAGTGAATGCTTTGAGAAAGATGGTCAAAGTGGAACCATGCACCTAAGTTGATGAATTAGATCATTGGACAACCAGAAGGGAGAACTTATGACCAAAAATTTCACAGCCTATCAGTAACGACTAAACCAGAGAACACTGTAATGGAGCAGCAACAGGGAAAGCAAGGTGGGAGCAGGGGGAGAGAAAGAAAACCTTATGTATACCTCTTTCTGAAGGTGATATATGGAGTCATGAAGACCGTGACATAATTTGATACGTAAACAATTACCTGTAGATGTTGTGTTAACAGATTAGGCAAGGTCATCTTCTTCATTGAATTTAACTGGTCAATTAACCCAGGGATTATTAATTTGAAATGACATGCATCAACAGGATGCCCTGGAATGCGTAACAGAGTATTTCTAGCTTGAAATCCACAATCGAAGTCTAGTTTCCTCCATAGCTGATAGAAGAAAATGCATAGCGAGTGAGACAAACTTGTTGAAATCCGGGCCGGAGGAATTGGATTGGAGGCATCTGAAGGTGGAGACAATGGTAAGTGGAAGGGAAAAAAGGGCATCCGATCAGCCGTTGGAGATCCGATTCGTTCCGGCTGATCAACAGCTTAGGGCACTCGACTTGTATGCTTCTATTTTTCTTCTCCATGGACTACAGTGGGCAAAACCTGGAGTCGGATTCAAACCCGCGAGAATTTGGTGCCGGTTTGTTTGGGCCGGGCTTTTCGCTAGGGAAAGAAAAGGAAAATAGGACGGAAAATGGAAAAGGCCAGAAATTATCCAAAAAGACCAGAATCAAACGAAGAATTATTGAAATTTCCTTCATGTTTTTTGATATTGCAATTTGGTACTCGTGCTATTTCCCGTTTATAAAAATTGGGGATTCAATTTTATTTTCTTGCATTTTCTTCCTACTTGTGGTAGAAATAAATTGAAAATGAAAGAAAATTACAAAAATAAAATTAATACAAAACACTAACACCGAATTTGATAGCACCGTATTTGATAGGAAAGAAAGATGAAGGAAAGAGTGTGGCATGAAATTTTATTTTTTTTATTTTTTTTTCATTTGATAAGAAAAAAATTATTAAGTTTATATATTTTTATATAAAAAATCTGTGAAATAGTTATGTAACTTTTTTTTTTAACATATGAGACCACAACAGGAAAATAAAAAAATCTTTAAGTGATTCAAATTTAAATTTTAATCTCTTTTGATCCGATCTTAATCGCATTAAACCTAATAATTTGAAACACGATACAGTGTTATAATATAAAATAATACAAATAAAAAATACATAAATAACACAACTTAAAATTTTTAAAAATCATAAATAGATTTAATAAAATCAAAATTTATATTTTATATTTTCGTATCGATACTAATTATAATACGTAATTTTTATATAAAATATGATATATTAACGAAAAATATCGAGTCTACATGTATGAATCATTTTAGCTAATTCTTCTTTTTTTTTACGTATTATTATATTGCTGTGGTTTTTCAAACTAATATCTGGATAGTCATTGTTCAATCAAAGTTAGTTTAGTTGAGGCATTTGACAAAACTTAATGACAAAATAGACCAAGTCTAAACGACTTTCATTTGCACAAAATGGAGAGGTTTATAATTTTACAAATAGACACTCCATTATACATCATCTTGTGCTGGACACACTACCCAGTGCCCACCATTAGAGGATTACTCTATAAAATCCCTAAAAAAGTAGGTGAGGAATGATAGATTGATATGACGAAGCTAGCTAGGCAAAACCAACTCGCCTCATATACAGAACACACCAAGACAAAATTTTTCTCTCATGAATCAAAGAATTAAACTGACTGCTTTCCTACAGAACTAACTCCTTTCTATAAGATTATTGTAGCTTAACAGAATCTAAAGGTTTTCAATACATGACAACCCATTGTTTCCCTCAGCTCCTCTCTCTTTCTCTTGGGCAGAGATAGAGAAGACATAGCTTTAGCTGACACAACCCTCCTCACAAGTAGCTTCCACTTTGCTGCATCACACATTTTCTGTTGTTGAGCTTTCAATTTGAATTGTCTGTCACATTTAAAAAGCAACCAGCCTTAATGTTAATGGTAAAAGGCCAACAATGCTGCTTATAGTAATTGAAAAGAAAGAATAGAAGGACCCAATTTCTCTAGAAAAAGAGACAAACATGGGACTTTTAAGACCCACCAGGCTTGATACACTAATAACGGATAATGATGGGTTTAATTTTACCTGCAAAGTGGAACCCTGCAAGATTCAAGCTGATCACAAATGGAGGAATGGAGTCTAAGAAGCTGCCACATCCGCTTGCACCGGGAGCACCCTCCTCCATTAGCCCTTCTCTTGCACAGAGCAAAGTGTTTGATCAACAGCTGGACACCTTGACACGTTGTGTATTTGTTGCATGGGCCCATTCTCTTTGCCGGTTCCACGTCGTACGGCCCGACATTCGTGCACCCTTCCGTGTAAATGTGCTCTAAACACTCCATTGCCTCGCTGAGCTGCAAATACAAGCTCTGTTCTTCCTTGAGCCGCCTCGTTCTCTTTTTCCTCTGCCAAATTAGATCAATTTTCAAAAAATGAAAAACCAATATCAATGTTAATGAGGGTTGGGGTAATTTCTTTAAGATTTACCGATTCAGCTTCGTCCATGAATTGGAGAATCTCGAGTTCGAGCCAGGGATCATGACCCTGAATGAATTTCCAGCCTTCGGTTTGCTCAACAGCCTTGAAATTGGCGGAGACCAGCTTCATGCACTTGAGGTAAAGATCGGGTGCGTCGCAGAGCCTGGCGAGTTGGAGCACGTCCACCACATTCTCGATCGTCAGCCGTTGACTCACTCCCCTGGTGCACCTCTGCTTCAGCTGCGGGACCGAGTAAACGTGTGACAACGCTAGCAGGTGAATCCCATATTTCTCCATTTGCTCCTCCGTGCACCTATTGCAACACCGGGGTCATTTCCGTCAATTCAACTTTGACATAAAAAATATCTCCTCTGATTTTGGAGAAATAAATCCAGCAAATAACGTGACGGATCAAAAAATATTACTAGCGTAGAATAGGCAATGGAGTGTTAGATTTGATAATTTTGATATAATAATATAATATAAATAAAAAATATATAAATGATATGATTTAAAATTTTAATAATAATTATATATAAATTAAAAAAATTAAAAAAATAAATTTTTTTTTATTTTTTATTAAATTTTTAAAAATATAATATAAATATATAAATTTTAATATTTTATATAATACGAATATATAAATTATTAATTTTACTTAAAGTTTTGAAATTAATAATCTTACGTATAATATAATAATATGATAAAAATAATAAAATTTTTAAATTTTAAATTAATACAATTAAAATTTTATTTAAAATTATAAAAATTTAATATAAATAAAATTATATTAATATAAATTATAATTCGAAATTTTTTAATTTTATTAGAAGATAATTTTAAAATATCATATCTATTTATTATTTTATTATATTAGGTTTTATTTTTTATTATAAGATGACGACAATGCTGATATTACAAGTAAAAGAAAAGAATTTAGAAAAGCCGTATAATTAGACTCAAACGTTTTGCCAATCGTTGATTATATCACGTGGAAAACAAGGAAGAAATGAACGGCAGAGATCATCGAAGAAAACAGAGAGGAAATCAAATGCTGAACCAACCTGGAAGAGTAGAGGTATCCGACAAAAGCAGAGACGGCGTCGGATGGAACACCGAGAATTGGGATGACTCTCACAGAGCTTCGGTGCTTACGTGGTCTCTCAATTATATTTTCCAGCACCGGCGACGCCATTGCCTGAATATTTAAAAAAAAAAATCAGAAAACAACGAAAATTTTGAAATCGAAAAATGGTCTAAATAAAAGGGAGCATAGGCTCATTACCAAGATGCTGGAGTGAGTGGGGATGCGGAGGCCGCCGGAGGTGACGATCTGGACATCGGGTTCGGGTAAATGGAGGGCGAAGGAGGTGGCTGAGATGACGGCGGAGGAGGTTGAGTTATGATTGTTGCCTTCCATGGAAAGAGAAAAAAACACAGAGTCTGTTCTTTAGTCGTTGTGCGATTTCCAAGGAGCTTGGCTGTCTTGGATTTTATAGACATCCTAAGGGAGTGAGAAAAACATTTAAAATGCTCAAAAGCGAAGCCCAGAACAATTTGATGTGTCACGTGTGACAAAAATGTTGTGTTTCACTGTTCAACGCGCCTTGAGTGTCATTTTTCGTAAAATTTTAATAAAATTATATATAAATATGATAAAAACAAAATATATATTTTATATTTAATATATTGATATAAATTATAGTATAATAATTTTATATTGTATATATATAGGAACACGAAATAAATAATAACTATTTTTTTATTATTTTTAAGAAAAAATAAGTCCAACAATTTACAATATTTAAATGGATATAATTCAAGATCATATTTTTAATAAAATCATTTTAATATCTTTCAAAATTTATATTAAAAATTTTTTGCTGAACGAGTGAAACTCAAAATCTAACTTTGAACGTTTAAAGGAGTTTGATATTTACTAATGTGAAACCGAATTTAGTAAAACTTGACATACTTTGAATCATAGATTAGTTGTCCTAGTCTTTAAACGGCATAATATTTTAGGTCATGTTTGATTAGCAATGGTAACGAGTAAGGTTAGGGTGAGATTTTGTTCACATTAAACTCGATCCAATTTTATATTTATAATATTCAAACTCGACTTAATTCAAATTTATTAAAATATTATTTTTTAAAATATTATTTTAATATAAATATAAAATTATATAAATATATATATAATTAAATAAATAATTAAAAAATAAATTTATATATATTGAGTAGATTCGAGTTTGGTTTGCTTAAAATCTTATTTTTATTTTTTTTTACTATTACCTGACTTAACCTAATCGAAAACTTAATTTAAAAAAAAAAAATTGATCTTAAGAGGTCGGATCGAGTCGAAACTCGCAAGGGGCCAAATTAGATTGCCATCTCTATGTTTGGTGTATAAAATAATATATAAAATAATATGATAATTATATTATATTATATTATATTTGTTTCTAATTTAAAATGATAAGATTATAAGAAATATTATATACACTTGGTTTAGGATAATTTAATTTTCTTAAAGTGGAAATGATTATTTTTAATCCATAAAATTAAACATACGTTTTTATTATACTTTTAAAAATTATATTAATAATTTAAATTGTGTAAATTTTGAAAAAAAATAATTTTGATTAATAAATAAATTATCTTATTTTATTATTTACACACATCAAACATAAAAATAAGATGATATTATTTAATCTAATCATATTCATAATATCATCTTATTATTTTTATCATAATTTTATATACAAAGTATGACTTTAATGTACATAAATAAATGCTTGTAAAACTTGCCTTACTTTAAATCAATATGATTTAATTAAAAAATTTAACTAATGAATATAAATGAACTCGAATTTAAAATAATTTAAATTAAATTATTCAAAAGAAATGATAATTTAAATTTTAAATAATTAAAATCTAAATAATTAGAATATCAAACTTAAAAAGTTTGAATATAAAATGACAAAAACTTAAGATGATAAAAATCTAAAATAATTTAAAATTTTTAAATCCAAATTAACAAGATCCACACGATGGTAGAGGTGAGAAAACATACTGTGAAATTCGAAAACCGATTTAAAATTATAATGTTTGATTTGGTTCAGATTGATTTTTTTTATTCGATTCGAATCAAGTTCAAATATTAAATATATATATATATATTAAGTTTGGATCGGGAGATGAAAAATTGAAAAATATTGAACCAAACCGAATTATATATTTTTTTAGTTTTTATATATATTTTAAATTTTTATAAAATAAAAATAATAATTTTATATCAAAATTTATTTAAATATATTAAAATTTTATATTAAAATAATATATAAAAATTAAAAATTAAAAATTAATAAATTGAATCGAATCAAATTAGTAAAATTTGGTTTAATTCAGTTTAGATTAAATGAATATTTGATTCGAATTTTAAATTTTTATAATATTATATAATATTAAAAAAATCAAATCAAATTTGATCCAAACAAAACTATTATCACCTCCACTTGATGACATTACCTTTGGCATACGTTTTTAATTTTATAAAAAACAATTAAAATTAATATGAATATTTTTTTGAATCAATAGATATGATATACTTTCCTATGCTTAATATCAAGTAATTTAGTTTATTTTTATAAAAAAAATTGTTTAATTTAATACTATAAAGCGGGCAGATATACCTAGTGACTAGGTGGACGGATTCTTTGAAAATGCGCGTGGGGATGCTGATAGTTAATTCTTATTCCACATTTACCCTTGACGTTTTAAAATTTTCACTTATCATCCTTAAATATCTAATATTAACTGGACGCCCTTTCTGAGCTGACTAGGAAAGGCTATACGACGACAGGTTCTTCGAAGAGTCGATTTTCTGATAAACGGCTTTTGGTGAGCTGAAGAGTTATAGATCAGTCTGACGTGGCACTCGTTCTTATCCATTCGGCTTTTGATTTTGTCCACTTGTCTTGAACTCCACCTAGGTTGGATTTCCACGTGTCGATGACCCACATGCATAGCAAAAACCATAACAAACGTGGAAACAGAGAGTGTAAGGGTCCCAACAGCTACTCGTTAAGAAACACGTGTCATCAAAGTTAACCAGAAGTTTGGCACTGATTCGATCGATGGAGAACCTGAGCCCCTCGGCCGACCAGTGATTGTTAACCAATCAAAATATATATATATTCATAAAATGAAAAATATTTATATTTATATATTTATATTATATTTTTTATAAAAATAATTTATTATAACTTATATTAATATAAAATATATATTTTAAATTTATTAAATTCATAATAATTATTTTTATATCATATTCAAATCATATCATTATATCATATTTTAAATTATTAAATCTACTAAAAATCGAATCTGTTTTAAAAATCAGATGAGCTACGATGGTGCGTCGCGGTGGCAGATAACTATGCCTCGAATGGATATGATTAAACTTATTTTATTACTAATTTTGATTAATCAATAAGTTTTGCTTTATCCTTTTGTTTCGTAATGATTTTCTTTTTTTTTTTCTTTCAAATAGCATACACTTGTTTCATGGAACTTTCCTAAATAAGAAATGAGGCAAATTTGGTTGGTTGGATTTTAACGAGAAGGGCAATGTTCAATAAAATATTTTAATTCAAAAAAGGAAGGATTTGAATTTCTTTTTTTCTTATGACTAGTTGAACTTTGGATAAGATCTTTTTCTTATAAAATAGAAAAAACATTGTTAAGATTATGGATGAGTAAAAAGAAATTGTCAATATGGGCACATGCCCCTCATTTCTCTCATTTAAAATATGGGTAAAATGTACAAATTGGAATAGTCATTTAATGTTGGATGATTTTTTATTTTAGCCATTGAATCATAAAATCTAATGTTTTAGTTATAACTTTTGAATAAATGTATTTTTTACCAAATTGATAGTTTGTGTTAATTGTTTTTTAAATTAATTGATATATTATTAAAGTTGACATTTGAATATTACGATTTTTTTTTTTTTTGAATTGGGCTTAGGACAAATCCACTTTGGAAATTGCAAGTAATATTGATAATTATCAATACGCAAATTAGTTGACATGTAAAATATTGATAATTTATATATTTATATTGTATTTTATATAAAATTTCGTATTAATTTATATTGATACAAAAATATGATATATATTTTGTTTTGTTAAAATTATTTATGATTTTTTTAAATTTTAAATCGTATTATTTTTAAATTTTTTATTTATATTATTTTTATGTCGTATCACTAACTCATACTTAAGATTGTCAAATCTACTTTTTAGTTACTTAGTTTTCTTTTTGAGGGACAAAGTCATCTATAAAAAAAACATTTTTTAAGGTAACACTCATTGGTTTTGCTATGGTTCCATATTTTTCATTACTCATTTGTAAATTTAAATAGCAAAGGTCCCTCTTTCTTACTATCCAGCACCAAACTGCCCTTAATGATTCACAAATTTGTGTTGTGACATTTCAAATTATTTGAAGTGATCATGGAGCATGGGGAAGTTTCCTTTTCTTTTGAACTGGGCTTAGGAAATTATTTGATTGCGCAAGGAATTTCCCATTTGGAAAAACAATTTTTTGTTATAAAAAAATACATCCGATAATTTATATATTTTTATCGAGTAAAATATTAATAATTTATATATTTATATCATATTTTATGTAAAAATTATTTATCATAATTCATGTAAATATAAAAATATAAAATACGTTTTATTTTATTTTATTAAATATATATGATTTTTATTAAAATTTTAAATTATATCAATTTTGTATTTTTTATAATATTTTTGTATCATCGTATTTTAAGTTATCATATCTAAAAAAAATAACAAAAAGATAGTATAATAATTATTATTTAAATCCCAAATTTACTCCACACAAACATTTAAAGAATTAGTATATTAAGCTACTGAATTAAACATTTAAACTGGAAAAACATTTTTCCTTTATAGTTTACTAACAATCCAAAGGAGTGCAAGAAACAAGCAGTTCTTCAGAAAAAAGACTCTCTCTCTGATTTCATCAGAGTTTTTTCATACTAATTCTTAGCTCTTCTTTTCTTCTGGAATTGATTTTTACCAATCTGGGTTATACAAGCGTAAGGGTCTGCTCAGCTAGAAATGTGATAACTGATACGAGGGGATAAAAAGCTAGCTAAAAACCACATGCCCAGTTTTGAGACGGCCATGGATTGAGCTCAATCTGCTTCATATTATACACTAAAAGCCTTTTTTTTTTTTCCTTTTAAGACGATAAAAATATTGAATTATTGCTGCACAGCTAATGTGTGTAGGAAATTAAGAATAGTAAGGTGGAAATTTAGTCCTAATAGTGACACACATAAGTCTTAATAAACAGTCTGTTCGTTAGAAGAGAAAGAAAAGAGAAACTGTTTTCTTCTTATTCTAGAAAGGCTGCTATTGCACATGTTTAAAAGGCTCTGTTACCAAAACTGTAGACCTTACGAACA